ACACACACACACACACACACACACACACACACGCACACTCAAAGGAAAGACATGAATAAACAAGCAACCTGCTGGGGATTCAAACTGCAACCCTACAACTCAGTGCCCACAGCAATAACAACTGCGCCAAACATACAGCAGTGATTGGCCAAAGCAGAAATTCTGGCAAGAAACTCTAGCATGATTAGAGTTTTTGAATGAAATAAACATTCACAATATGTAATAATAAGCAATACAAGAGTATGGCATTTGCTTTTGGGATACACTGCAATAGATCAAAAATATAAGTAATACACTGTTTCTGTGTCCTAACTCATAAAACATTTCTTTATTCTTACACTATTAATTGCAAATATGAACACTGTTACCACAGTGTTCTTTTCAAGTTGTTGCAATGTTGTTAGAATGCCACACAGGAACTGCTGAAAACACTTTGCAAACATTTGTAAAGGAATTTTTCATTTCACGTGGATTACATTCCACCACTGTTACCACACTGTTATCATAATGTTACACACTGTTACCACACTGTTATCATAATGTTACAACACTTTTGTGATATGACCATGTAGCACTTCATGAGAAAACTTGTAAAGTCTTTTAAAAAGCATGAGACTATACACAATGGATGCATTCATGCACCATATTGCAAATACAACTTGACTTTACACACAGCAGTGTGCACACTTGCAATAGTTTGAGAATTAACTTCCCATGACAACAATGTTACAACACCGTTGAAGCAGTGTTAACACATTGTGGTTTATGAAAACAGTTTTATAACACTTTTGAAGCAGTGCTGAACAATGTTGTTATAAAAAACAGATTCTTCATATATTTAATTGGAGTATACTGCATCCAACACTTTCACCCCCTTTATTTTTGCATAAGAAACATTAATTTTTAGAGTTTCATATATATGCTCTTATTATCAGCCGGCCAATCTAAATATGGGATAAATAAATTCCAATAAAAAAAGAAGAGTCAATTGCCTGCTTACTAATAAAATAACACTTTTAAAAGCATCACACTAGAACGTTTTTAACGCAGTCAAAAATGTTTTTAAAAAAGTCAGAGTAAAATGCTTTTAAAAGCATCACAGAAAAACGTTTTTTATAGGGTAAAAAACGCTTTTGAAAGCGTCAGACTCTGACGCTTTCAAAAGTGTCAAATAAAAACATTTTTTACCCCATCCTGACCCCATCAGGAGAACAGATCCCTGCTCCCATCCAAAACCATTTGACCATCAACTGAAATGGCCACCTTACACATAAAAATAGCAGCTATCTCAGGCAGCAATCCGAAATTTTTGCTCAGTCTGCAGCTTGCTTGGGAATTAAACTGGCAAGATTAAATTTGACCTCAGTTTATATCTCAATAAAAAATGTATTTTTCTGGTCCGACTCTCAGGTGGTAGTCGGATGGGTCTGGGCCGGTACATTGAATCCAGTCCCCTATGTGCAAGATTGCATCCAGACTGTCTTGTCTCGATCAATCCAAGAAAATTGGAAACACATCCCCTGAGACCAAAATCCAGCAGGTTATGCTTCTAGGGGACTGCCCCTGAAGAAACTTAAAACAATTCCTTTTTGGTGGAGGGACCAGATTGGTTGACAAATAGAGACCAGTGGCCTCAACAACCAGAAAGAAATACCTTAATACAATTTAAGGTAAACATAACTGTTGGGGATTACCCTGACAAGATCCTCAAAGAAGCTTATAAAGGAACTCAAAGAGACTGGGTAAGAGTTATCACCAGGACCATGACCTGGCTTAAAATTAGAGAATTCCTCAGAAATTGGGCAAAAAAGAACTCTCAAAAACCCAAATCTTTTTCCTCCAACAAAAAGAGGAACTTCCATGGGAGACGGAATGTTTAAACATTAGCCCTTCTTAAGAAACTTCTCCCCTCTGGAATTTATGGAGGGTATAGTTGAAACCATTTGTTCTGTCCAAAAGATCAGAGCCCTCACCAAATGGGAAATCCTCAATCCTCATTAGGTTTTTTCCACTTCTTCCCATTCATCCAAAAAATCCGAATTTTTGGGGAAAAGTCTTTTTCAAATTGCTGTGTCCCAATAAATTGGCTCACTTGACAGTTGGTCCAAATTTACTGGGATCTGGCGGAAGTCCTTGACGTTGCTGATGATGACCCCCTGGATCAAAGCAGGGGTGGAAATTGCATAAAAAGGCAGCTGACCAGAGGACCAGACACCAGACAGATTCAACTCCATCACTGTGACACTGTGTGAAATTTCTGGCACATCTCTTAGTAAATTTGTGTGTTGCCAAAGTAATTTGGTGCAAGAAGAGCCTTTTTGTACATTTTGTGGAAAATTGCTCAAAAGTGCTGTATATTCATCTCTGTGAATTGATAACGCGCTTGCACTTATTCCAGCAGGTAGCGCACCTGCTGAATTGTCTACTCAATTATTTCTCCTAAAAATTGTGTAGATACAATCTCCTTGGGCTCTCTGGCAAGAGAACTTTCTCTTGTAAATTATCCTGTAAAGAACCACTTTTGTAAGAAAAAACAATCTCTGCTTGATTTTTCAAGAGTATGTACATTTCTCCTCTGGATTTATTTTTGCCAGATAAAATTTGTTCAAGCATCAAAATGAAGAATGAAGTCTGGATTTTGAAAGAAAACAAAGAACAATAAAATATATTTTTTAAGTTAACTGGAAGGATTTTAGGCTGTTTATCAGCAGTTGAAATAACAATTGTTAATTTGTAAGTACAGTACAGTACATTGCTGTACTGTGAACAGCTCCGCAGACTCAAGCGCATCCTCTCTACCCCAGGAAATTTTATATATGCTCAAAACTTTCATAAATTCTTTGTAGATGTCGCAATAATGGCAACACCAGCCTGACTCATTCTCACACAATGGAAAGGGAGTAAGAGCGGCACCAATGTGCAAGTTCATTGAGTACTCAAGAAGCGGTGATGAAAGTGCAATATAGATGTCACCGTCGCAGGGAGAACATGTATGATTGCTAGTTCCCTTCAGTGGTTGAAAATGCTTCACTAATCGTACGATAAGCAAATAATATTTCCTGGAAGTAAGTTTGGAACCCCCTTAAAAGTTATGCAATGCCCCAGAAAAACAGAAAATTTCAAAATGAGACTTGAATTTCATTCCGTCAGGCAATGGATGAAAATTTGGTGATTTTTTCTTGTACTGTATTATGTTTATCCCACTGCATGCTTCACTCAATCACTTCAGGAACTGTCATGGGCTTTATATTATACTAATCAAGATGTTTTATGGTCATTGCTATGAGGGTCACACAAAGTACAGTATCAGAATATGGAAATGTTCCCTGTCACAGACTATATGTTGTATGATTTATAATGGGAGAAAATGCGTCTTCTCTATGTGTATTTTACCTGCGTATGTCCGGCAAGGGAAGCTATACATACTAGTGATGCAACAATCCAGATGTAATTCTGAAAAAAATACCACAAACACCCACACATAAAATTATACATTTCAGTACCATGCAAATATATTGTAACTCAAGATATTTCATTTCATTGTGCATTCATCTTCACAATTTGCATCAAACCTTATGCAGTCTTGACAAGAAGTAAAAAAATGGGTCAATGTTGTATTGTCCTTGGAGTTCAGAATTTATAATGGGTACCATGTTCTGATGCTGGGTTCCATTGGATTAATCCTTTGAACAAAATCTGTACACACTTACTTCTTGCAATTTAAATCTGATTTGCCAATTTTGGGCTTCCAGTTCTGCACTTCAGCAATTCAGAGGAATATCTTGCCTGGACATTTGGATGAAAAGTTCAAATTCATACTATATCAAACCCTCAAACACTAATTCAATGCAAACAAAAACCAGGAGGAAGCATCAGTAATGAAAATAAAATCAGGATTTGTTGATTGAATGAATGTTGAGTCCCCACAGCTCCCCATCTGCTATTGAAGCAGATACTATAGGACAATGTTTGGCAGCAAGCACACCAAGAGCTTGAGGGGTACCCACTTGAATGGGCTTATCCACAGATGCATTATTCCAGTAATGCATGGTATAGCTCTGCTCAGCCCTTTTGAGAATACTTGCAGAAATATTTTGATCATGATTGAACGAAAGTTTCCATGAATTAGGTGGGACTGGGTAAAATGCACCTGTCAAAACATCAAACACAAGCATTTATATGCAGTGCATGAGAAATTGATCAACTTAATTTCCAAACTAGAATCAGCATGTTTGGTAACTTACTGGTAAATTGTCTGAGGCCAATTTAGAAGCTGAATGATGATTGCATAACATCTTTACTTCACAGAATATAGTGTCATGCTTGTTGAGTGCAAGGAAATGTACATACAAGGAAAAAAGGCTTAAAGGAATTGCATGGTAAATCAGGTGCAATCCGTGCAGATGAAAATCAATCTAAAGATGTTTAACCTAAGTGTGTGACAGAAAGTGTTTGCATATCAAAAATGGATAATGAATTGAAAATATTACTTTCAAAAGCAAGGAACCATTCTGTACCCATATTTACTAACTCATTGTTTGATTGCCTTTCTTGTTATTGAAAAAATATTTATTCAACTCACCGATGTCCAATATTCTGATGCCCTTACAGTAACCAGGTTTCAGTAAATTTGTTGCATTGAACTTGCACAAGGTGCGGATCACCCTTGTCAACAAATGTGGTCCATTGGAACCCCATTTGTAAGGATTGAACCTGGAGAATAAGAGGGGGGGAATAAGAATTGTGTGTGGTCAAGATTAATCATTATTCTTTCAAATTCTTTGGAGAACCATACTCCTTATTCAAGGGAAACTTCTGAAGTAATATTGAATATTTTAATTGTATGCCTTATGCATGGAAAAAGTTGATTGAGGCATTGAGGCTACTGAAAATCAACCAAATTTTGATGCTTACTCAGTGTACAGATTCACTTATTTCTTACAAAAGTTTGACAAAATGACCAATGAGCAAGTTAAAGATTAAAAAATGTCAAGTTCTTGGTTAGGCTAAAATCTAGTCTGTACTTCTTCATTGTCTAGCAAGCTGGTATATTTTTTAATGCTTCAGACAGCTGAGTTTCTGAAATTTCAAAATATGACCAATGATTTGAAGAAGGATGTGTTATCCGATAAATGGTACACAAGAATATATAAAACAAACAATATATTTATTTCAAGATTATTCACAATATGAATACAAAGTTTGGAACAAGGAATTCTTCCTAAGGTCTTCACAAGGCTTCCTGAGAAATAACCTTGACAAGGATTGCATTAATTCTGAGCCTGGCTCAGGAAATCAGGATGTACACATAAATAGAGAGGATTCAAGGACTACCTAGATTCCATCAAGTGTCATCATTCATGAGATTTTTAAATCTCATGAATATCTTTAATATGAGAGCATGTCAGAAAAATGCACTATATCATTTGATATATATATTTATTTATTTATATTTATATCCAAGAGACATTTCCTCTTGGATCATCCAGGGTCGAAGAAAATCAGTTACACCTGACATCCATCAGTCAGTAGAATTTAGGTGCTTGGTCTTTTGGTGATTGAAAGCTTCACGCATTAATGGGGATGCTTGTTTCCATAAGATATGTAAAAAACAAGGAACAGCTGCAGGGGAAAAACACGTATTTTTGTGGAATGAATAAAAAAGACAATTTTGCTTGTAGGGAAGAAACCTGCCACAAGTGTAAATGTTTCTAGGTTAACAGAAGATAGTACAGTAATTACAAAAGTTCCATAGAGGATTTCTTTAACCTGGTGTTCATCTTAGTTGGAAACCTAGCAATCAACTAAAAAATAATTTTGGAACTCACTTTGCAGACAGCTCATTCATGCAGGCTTCCATGTAGGGATGGTGCTTCTCAAATGCCAATACAGCATTATTAAGCACATTGGTACCCTGAAGACCCACAGCATTCACCAGATCTTCCATTGGCCTCATGACAATCACATCAGTATCCAAGTACAATCCACCATATTTGAACAGGGTGACATACCTCAGTGCATTACTGGCTTGAGCAGTTTTAAATGGACTCTTGTCAAGTAAGTTTTTAGAAAGCCATGGCAAAAGAATGGTCCCATTCAGCCATTGGACAATGTCCAAATTGATGAACATGACATTTGGGTACCTTTCAGACCAGGATTTCAAAACTATGGGCAGTTGCAAGAACTTGTTATTCACTGCCATTACCACGGATCTGTTGGGGTGATGTAGAGCTGCAGACTCAACTGCACAGAGCTGTTTGGGACTCAACATGGGCAATCCTGATGTCTCCATCAAATAAATGGCATTTTCCGGGATTTTTGAGGGATCAAGGGTTTTCAATGTCTGTTGCACCACATCATTCTTGGATTGACAAGATTCTGGCATATTTTTTGGTCTACTGATTAAAATTCCGACTAGAACAACATTGATCATAGCAAGGAAAACCATGGATTTGAAATACTTCCTTTGAACAATGCCTCTTCCACCAAAAAGATTCATGATTTCTCTCAAAGTACGCGTATTATTTCTATTGTCTTATCTATGCAGATTTCCTTATATTTGAAACACAGGGCTCCTGAAATGGAAAAAAAAGAATGCCAGCAATCAATAATAATTATAGTAGATTAAAAAATTAATCTAAAAAACAAACAGACAAGAAAGCGAGTTAATAAAAACGTGTTAAAATAAAAAATTCCATGCACCAGACGACAACATTTTTTTTCACGTAATGATTCATTTCAGGAATGAAATGCACCAAATCAAAGGTGAAAATATTTCACAAGGTTTTCAAGAATCTATTTTAAACAATTTTCATTGTAAAAAGGACTGAAATTAAAAATAAAAGTGTGGAATACCAAAGTACATTATCCGAGTTTGCACACGTATCTGGAGAAAAACTTGAATAAAACGAGACAAAAGTTTTTTTTCGGGGCCAGAATTTTCGTCTTACCCTTGCACCAGGTCAGCAATAATGTAGTAACTTATTTGCACGTCATTCTCTCCCTCCCTCTCCCTCTCTCTCTTTCTTTGAAAAATAAAAAAATTCTTGACAACTAACTTAGAACATGGTACAACTTGATTATTTTTCACATGAATCGCGCAACAGATTTGCAAAAAAAAAAAAGAAATCAGCGTCTCATCAGAAAAAGAAACAGGTATCTACAATTCGAAAACACGAACATAGAAAAATGTAAAAATCCGTTGGAAAGGCCTGAAAGAAAATTTCACCATTTCAACAGGTTTTTTTTTCGTTGCACTTTCAAGAATTCTAGAATCTAGACTGAAGGAAAAATTCGACCTTTCAGTTCCACGTTCCAAACGTTTTCGTGTCTCGTGGGGGGGATCGAAGAAACGTTGAACAGCTTTTCATGCCTGAAATGTTTCACTGCCCTTAATTCACTCAATAAAAAAATATTAGTTTTCAGCCGAAAGAAAGTCGAGAAAAACGAAAAAAAAACACACACACCCTAGTGCCCTACAAACAACGAAGACTTTTTTTTCCACCATCAAAGCATGAAACTCGTTTTGGTTGAAACTCATAAAAGATTATGTTGCCGTTGAAAATACGAAAAATTTGTGACAGAATCAAAGTCACCCTCATCTGTTATTGTCATGACTTGAAATATAAAATGGCACTTGTTTTTTTTTCGCAAGTAGAAATGTACATGCTATTTTCTTCTTTGAATAGGAGAAATAATTTACACACTTAATAATAATATTAATAATAGCATGTTTGGTAACTTGCTGGTAAAATGTTGGAGGCCAATTTAGAAGCGGAATGATGATTGCATAACCGCAATGCATAAAGGAGTGTTTGGACACTCCATTATAGGTTCACGGATGTTAAGACAGGTAGATGGCTGCACATAATATATACTGTAAAAAAGGAAACCAATAGGCAATAATGCAAGTGAATGACTGGCAACCAGGCAGGTGTTGAATGGATATAGTAAAGGTAATGGTTACTGGGGGCTTGTCCAAATTGGTCGGGCTTCATCATCAACCAACAATCATCCCTAGACACATGAGCTACAACCTACTAACCAACAACATCCTCAAGGAGATTGCCTGACGTTACGGAGTCCCATCCACAGGACCCAAGGAAACCCTCATCCAGGACTAGCCCCCAGTAAAGGTAATGACGTTGTATATTTATTAAAAAGGATACACTTCAGAGTAGTGAATGGGAAATGGTTAAGGCAGGGTTACAGCTAATGTGTAATTCAGCAACCTGCTATGGTCTCCTCCCTGACTATATGGTCTAGCTAAGCAGTTCCAGTTGTTACCAAGCAGAATTTAGGAACACAAAAGCCAAGTTGAGAATGGGGTATTCTTAGCCTGTTTAAGGACACATTTGATCATACAATGACAAGATATTAGCAATTTAAACTATAAAATATTCCCAGAAAAAAATCATGATATCATCCAATGTTGGGGCAGATTTTTTGAGTTTTGTATGTCATTTAGTAAAATTGTCTGGAGTCCTTACAGTACATATTTTTTCAAAAAGGGACAAAAAAATTGCAATTAAAATTATGCGGGTTTCAATCATCATTTTATACAAGATTTTGGTGAAGAATAAAAAATCTTCACAAAGGATCAGTTATGCATTCAAAATTTCGCCCTGTCCTCTTTTTTTCTCTTGCTATTCTGTCACAGAAAAACTGATGTGAACTTGCAGAACATTACTCGAATTTTTGTAGAAGGAAGAGGGGGGTTTACTAAAATTCTTTGAAAATTGCAATGAAAGAGCCAAATACTGTACTGTTGTCCGTAGACCGAGGTAAATAAAATATGAGTTTGAAAAAATATATCTTCAGTATATTTTCAAGTCACAAATATTCAGCTTTACAATCACACAAAAATATATAAAGATATGGAGATACAAAGAGAGTCTTGCTAAAGCATTTTGCAAGTCTCTCTGAGAAATAACCGCAAACAACTCTAGATTAATTCTGAGAAAATATACAGCAAAGAATATATATATATATACCTTCTGGAAATACACAGTATATGGGCAAGATATTTGCCTAGATTGAGGAACTGCTGGTTCCTTGAACACTAATGCATATATATACATCCGGGTATCTATATGAATACAAAATACATTTAATAAATACACTTGTACCCAGGAAAGAGGGTTCTTCCTAAATTGGCAAGTTCTTCAGAAAGAGGAGGGTCATATGTCACTGTGGAAAAATAGCCGATTCTATTGAGGAAGCAAACATAAACAGGCGTCACGCATTAATGCGGGCTGACTCAAAAAGAGGGGAACCAAAACAAGAGGGAACAGCTGCAAGGAACCGAAAACCTTGTAGAAGAGATTTCAACCCAAATAAGAGAGAGAAAAAGAATAAAGAAGGAAATCAGTTTCTGGGTTANACAAGAGGGAACAGCTGCAAGGAACCGAAAACCTTGTAGAAGAGATTTCAACCCAAATAAGAGAGAGAAAAAGAATAAAGAAGGAAATCAGTTTCTGGGTTACAAACTCACGCTAGGCAAAAATAAAAACAGGTTCCATTGTTTTTAGGTAACAAATCAGGGCTCACATGGTAATAAGTTTGAAAGGCATCAACTCGGCATTGGCGGAATTGTTGTTATTGTCAAACGTTTGAAGTGCCCAATTTTGTACAAGTGCAAGTGAGAAAACAAAAAGAACTCAATTGCTTCAAGGTCTTGATGACTGTTTTCCTGAGCAAGCCTTCTTCAGGACAGAAAATCGAACCTGGGGCTTGCAGTGAGCCTGTAACTCTTTGAATGATTTTCCTTTAACCTATTGGTTTTTTCTACAGAGTTCCTTGATTAAATTCCCAATAGTTTTTGTTGGTTGATACAAGTGGTTGCGCATATTGGAATATATATACAAACACAAATCATAAAAATAATAGTAACTGATGATAAAATACCAACAATATTCACAAAGCAAAAATGAAGTTAAGCAGATGGATACTGAGTTGTTGATCAACTGATTATTTGTCTGTTTAACAGATGTTTCAGGTGGTTGTTTTGCTGTCAGTGTTGGTGGTGAGTACTTTGGGTACTTGTGTTCTTGAAGGGCGTGACGTTGTCTGTGATAACATGTGTGGAGATGATGTCATAATGGCTCTTGACCATGGACGTTGGGTGATTTTTAATGGCAGCAAGTTGTTTCTTGACTGCATTCGTTTGCGACGTCTAAAGGTGAGGTTACAGCTCACAGGTGGAAAAGGCATTGTTTTTTTACTTGTGTCCGTGACCTCCTCAGGTGGTCCAGTTGTTGAGGCCAGTAGCGTGTTTTGGACAACGTAGCGGCCTGGAGGGGATTGTCAGTCCCTGGCCCTATTGTCAGGAGAACGTCAGGAATACAACTCCACCATGTAAGTAATCCATTGTTCTTTTCATTTAGTTCACAGGTCAACAAAAAAAATATTTTAGAAAAGAAGGGTTCTTTAATTTTGTTGTTTGGTTCTTTTCTGGATATTTTCAGCAAGTACAACAATGACTTCAGTGTCTTGAGTGACGCAGGTGACAACAATTACTACGGAGGCAGTCATCAGGCATTCTTCCAAGGTCAAGGAGAAAGAGATTTTGGCTGCTGTGCCCTCCTTGATGCCTGAGGTGACTATTAGGGTCAAGGATGGGAAGTTGGAGGCAAACATCAATGGCAAGACTGCCATGATGTTCCTGATAGTTGCCTGTGGAGGATCTGGGGTCAGTGGCGGCCTTAGGGTGGGGCAAGAGGGGCAACTGCCCCAGGCCCCGCGCTTCTGGGGGCCCCGCGCTGGGCAACTTGGAAAAATTTTTAATCCCAATTTTTTTTATCTGGTCAACCCTGTCACCCATGAAACTGGCTTCCGCGCGCACAGAAGTCAGGCGCCACATTTTCGGTTGGGTTAATAGCTGTTGGCTTGGGAGGAAGTTGAAATAATGCATCTTCTTCCTGTCCCTCCAGATTTTCTCTCCAGTACTACTTCTCCTCCCCCTCCTTGAGGCTTCCTGTCCTCGATTTTTGTGGGTGATCCCTTCAACCCTGAATAAATTCGAAGCTCAGGGTGAGCATCAACTCCCCTCCTCATCTCTCCCAACAATGATTCCTGGATTTGTCAACCCTTTGCTCTCCAATTTTCATCCTCCTCCTGTATCTCATCAATTGAGTGCACTTCTTGCGCAGTTGCAGTTGTGCTCTGGCAATTGGTTGCAGGTGCTGTACTTGTGG